CACAATATGGTTTGGATGATTATGTAAATTTTTGAAAGCTCTCACCTAGCCACGGAGTTGCCAATGTCCGATCCTGCTTGTATGCCAAAGTACGATCCTGTGCACGTTTCCTGGCAATTGAAGCTGAAAGCCTTGACGGTCGTTTGGAGTCTACCTCCGCTGCTCTGCAAATGATAGCACGTTATGGTTGGCGATGGGCGCCTCAAGTTGCCTTTATAAGATAGTAGCATGTTCCACTTCCAGCTTTGGTGAACGTCACTGGACTTGATCCCACGGTGAAGTCCGTTTGTCCACAACCGCTGCTAGTTGCTAAATACAAGCAGGCGTGATTTATTGCACTTGTGATAATGGGAATGCTGACTTTTCGACCTCTCGCAGCTATCGCCAGCTAAGCCTTCCGGGCATCTGCAAATGTTGCAGTTCTTTGGATCAGCGTATCCTTTGTTCTGGCAACTCCGCGGCGCGCAGATGGCTGAAAAAGGAAAGTTTGCTTTTTTTCAAAATGTCTTAAGAAGCGAACTCACATCCGCAGTAGGCCAGGTTAAGCACCTTGGCGTCATTAAAGGAAGGATAGTCGCGTTGTCCAATGGTATATTGGTACTTTGAATCCTTTGTCGTAATTACGTATTGGTTGTAGTTGATGGCGAAGGACTAAGAATAAAACTCGCTTGCATAGGTGAAAGCTAGTCCGAAGCCTAACCTTTGGAGGATAGTGCATATCGGACCCGAAATCGTAGGGTACCTGATCCAGGTACATTATATTGCTGGTGAGGCGCTCAAAGTTGCCCACGGCAGATGCTATAATGTTATTGTAGTTGATGGAGATGTAGTTGTCTCTGTCCGTTCGGCTTTGTTCATGCCATACACCCAACGCGTGGCTAGTCTCGTGGCATACGGTGCCAACACGTTCGCAACCAGTCCCAATAGAAACTTGTTGTTTCCCGCCAAGGCGACCAACGGACGAGTAGCACCTAGAAAAAGGCGCATGCTCTCGTGCTGAAAAGCTAAGTGGGTCACTTACCCACTGCCCTTGATGTACTGTATTCTGTCGCCCGTGTATTGGTCATTTCGAATGAACTTCAAACATGTAGTCTCTCTCCACTTCTGAAGGCCGGCTTCTATGACATTCGAGTCAACTGTAATATACAGAAGCGGCATGTTTGAAAACTAAGGATGAATACAGCAGCTTTTGTACCTCCGCTGATCGTGTAATAAATTGTGGTGGTCCATCGACTAGCCAGATTGCTAGCTATGGCCGCTAGGTCAAGCGTTCTCGTTCCGCTGAAAGGCAGTGATCGATTTTCCTAATTAACTACTTGGAAAGCTATTAATGTTTTGGTCACCCCTTTTTTTCCAAGCTTTATTTGGCAGTATAAAAACATTTTGCATATTCTCTTACTTTATGTCTTCATCGATAACCTTGTTTAAAATGTCGATTTGATTCTCGCTCAGTAGGATGTCGCCTTCGTAAAGCAATGGGTTTCCTTCGGCTCCTCCCAGGTTGATATTTCTGTAGTCGACTATCTGCAATGGCAATTGGCTATAGCGCGTTGCACATTGATTGCTTTTAAGGTGCGTTACCATTTCTCGTTCCTTTTCGCTGAGCTTTGCCCATCTGTACTTTCTGAGTTTGTCCATGAACGCTTTGTACTTGTCTATATGAACATCGCTAAAGCCGAAGACGGTTCTCAATTCTTCCCATATGTTATCATACTATAAAAGGTGAATGATTTACTTTACTATGATGTAAGCTATGTAGAATATACTTACGTTAGTGACATTGTGGCCTTCTGGAGGCGGCGGCTTTCCAGTACAGTTCGGATGTGGGCGGTGCTCTTCTTCGCTTGAAGAGGACGACGACGACGACTCATTCTTTCCATGATGATGTCCATGCTCTGGGTTTCCTTCTTCCGAACTGGAGCCGTCAACGTTACGTCGGCGATTGATGTTACGTCTGATAGGTCGTCCAGTGTCTTCTCCCCTTGTAATTGTCATTGCTGGGTTTTGCGGGTCGTTGGCCTCCTCAATGACCATTCTGTCTTGGCCAGTTGTTCCTACGTTGTCACCTATGCCTACGGATCTTTTGTTTTTCGTAGCTTCCTTGTTTTCTTCCATTTTTTCCTCTTCAGTGTGGTTTTCCTTCTTTGGGACTGTTTCCGTCAAATTTCTTTCTTCTCCCTTCTGCAGAGGGTTTTCTTCCTTCGTATCAGTCTCATTGGCTTCCACTGTTCTCATTTGTCGATCTACGACGGAGACGGTGGTCAAAATTTCTTCTTTGTCCGCCATCGTTGGTTTCTTGATTTCAGCAACGCCTGTTCCGAGGGTATTTGCTCCTTTGGCTTCATTGGGATCGTTGGTGTCGGCGGTGCATCGCTGACTGCTGATAGTATAGAGAAGGTATAGGATGAGCACAAACTTCATGGCAACCTAGTTGGTCAAGCAAAAATTTGCCCAATGACAGAATGGACATTGTCGTGGCTCACGTTGACTTCGAGCTGGGTCAGGTCAAAGAGCGCGAGAAATTGATTCGAATGGGTGTTTGTCAGGGGAGACTTGTCGATTCGGTCAAGGGAAAATAATGGTCAACTGTAGCCTCGTCTGGTCTGATCGACCAGCTGTTTGACCCTGACTCTCTCTCTCTCTCTCTCTCTTTGATGGATTAATTTTCCATGATGACAAATCAGATAGTACAAAGCTGCAAGGGGTAATGATTATTTGCTTACCGCCAACAGACGGCAAAAGGCGGACTGTGTCTCAGATTGTAAGTGTCCCCTGAAGGTACTTGCCTCATCTACAGTAAACCTACTTGGGTAGACTATTGTTAACCATCGAAGGCCATTCTGCCGAAGGATCGTAATTACTGTGCTATTTTTAGCCCATAGTCTAGAGTACATTCCGGTGGCTGAGCGTCAAATGGGCTGCTTCAATGTCAAAGGTCATAGCGTCGAAAATACCGTAATCTGCCTTTAAGCAAAGCAAGAATATTACACTTTCTGGTCATTTCAAGCGATTCGTATCGATTTAATGTGGATACGGAAGTCTCGAAACAGAGTCATGGTGAAAAGGCACATCTTAAGAGTCCGTTGGACGATCATCTAATTATTCTATCCCTCATTTGTGAAGTGCAATTGTTAGGGACAAACTTATTCCTTATTGGGTTAGTTAATCGAAACTAAGTTTTTTCAGGTGTCCCAACTTTACGAGGCTTTAAGTTTCTGTTGGCTTCTGAACTTCGCGCATACGAACCACAAGTAAAATGCCCTCTGCGTGTTTGAAGGGAGCTCTTACCGCTTTGAATCAAATAATATTAAAATAAAGAAACTGCAAACTATTAATCGGCAAGTCAGCAAAGCGAATACGCTACGAGTTTATGAATGTCGTCAGGTTGTAAGAGTTGACCGTACGCTGAAAACGACAGCATAGCAATTCACATTTCCGTAATTGAATGAAGTCGCGCATACTCATCAAGGCAAATATTTCGTGCTTCCGCTTCTCCGGCTTTTAAGAAAGAAGGGGTTACGTGGCAGCTTTTTTTACTATAAAAAATTAACGTCTCTTTATAGTTCTAAGAATGGTAATTTGTAGGTTGCGTAAATTTTTTCATTTTAACCTATCATTCATAAAAGTTGGTTAATGGATAAGCGAGTTTTCAAGGAAAAGAAGCTGCGAACGTCCGCAGCCTTTTTGACGTGAAACTGTGATGGGATTGTTTTCCTATCCGAGTAAGCATCGCGTACTTTGCAATATGTGACGGCCATTAAATTATTTTTTTTCTTTCGCTTCTTGAATGAACGAAATTTTGAAAGTAAAGATAGCAATGCCAAACAGGCCTTAAAGGTATGTTTCCCCCTGTGTAGAGTTGTATTATCTCTCTGTATTGGAGATGTGTTAGAACAGCTTTGACTAGTTGATTCACGACATTACAGGTCGAGCGGCAGTTACTTAGGGACGGCCGAAATTGTGTGTCCGAACTCTATCTATCCTTCACAACTCAACGAGATAAGAGATTGTAGCATGATTGCCTGATGTGTAACTATTTGTCAGCGCGTTTATTCTTTGACAGGTCAGAATGCTCTGAGCCATAATGAGCATTCGTTCAAAACATAGAGCTGTACAAGTTTTCTTCACCTGTTGTAATCACTTCGATTTCCTTTGCTCCAGCTACGGCTGCGTAAATAAGTGTGGCAAACAGAGTTAAAGCGATCGATGTTGTCACTGTACATAGGAATATTTGCTTGGCGTCAACCTTTCAGTATTGTTTTCTTCGAGTTCGCTCTTAACATTCAAATTCGTTCAAGTAACGAATTTGAATGCTAAGAGCGAAGCTGAAAGCATTCCAACTGTAGAAGTGTATTAGTTCTGTTTTGCAAATGCTGTAAATGCCATGCCCACTTATTGGACTATAGCTTAAGTTCCACTTTCTTAAATTTCATTCGTAAAAGCGACTGCTTGCCGTTAAAGCGAAGTTGCCATTTTTACGAATGAAGCTGTACTGCTATTTTTGAGATATCTCGTTGCGACTAGTTCTTATGGACTCGTAAGCGGAGCCGGGCCTTTACGCTGCGGCCCCCGCCGACGGCGGGGGCCGCAGCGTAAAGGCCCGGAGACGTCGTTCCACAATTCAGCCTGAACATTCTTATGCGTGTAACAGGTAAAGTAAAATCTGCTGGCAAGCAGGGACAGTATCGTACGAGGACATCGAGCCAGGAGGTGATTTACAAGCTGCCGTAGCATCCCAAGTGTGCCTTGTAACCGCCAGGAGATCACTGGCACACTCTATCTCACAGCTTTTGTTTGAATGAGGCTCATAATATTGCGCACCAATTAACCGAGTATTCGATGTGCACCAGCTGAAAAACTCTGATGGAATTCGTAGCTGCGTTGACGTGCAAATCACTCGCCCGACTTGTGCATAGGGCCGAAAGACTAATCGAACCATATAGTAGCTGGTTTCTTCCCGAAGTTTCAATCAGGATAGGCAAGATCCATGTTTGTATTCACTCCCCTGGTGAGAATTGTACCCACGACCTTTGAGTTAGAAGGCCGATGAGCTATCCTCTGCGCTACAGGGGGTATGTGCACATGGTCGATGGATTTGTAATGCTAAAAATAATCAACATAAATAAACATCATACAAGATTAGATGACATGCTTCTTAAGCACATAGCAATAAAGCGTGGTTCTCTCGCCTTCAATAAGGAAATGGGTCGGATCTGCGAACACAAAGTTATCTTATTGTTTTTTCTCTGAAGTTGAAGTAGAAACGCAATGCTACTTTGAAGGCTGTGTTCATCCGCTAAGAAGTTATAATATACGCATGTTTAGAGCATTTTTTCAAGTAAAGCAGTGCTAAAGGATTTTTCACTTTGAAAGGGCGAACAAACTCTTCGAAGCTTTTCTTGCATCCATGGTCAAATCTTTTATCCATGTTCTATTTCAATTGAGCTGTTAATCCCTTAGGTCAGTCTGATTGCGCGTCAAAGAAATTCAATCAATGGGTATAGTATGGTTAAATGATGAGACCTAAATCATTGCAGTTAAGTTTCGTCGCTTCGGGTTGTCGCATTGGAAAGCGCCTTTGTCACGTACAGGCAGCTTTTGAAAGTCATCTGTCTAAGCGAGACAGCATTGCCAAATGCTTGACTTCAAAGGTTGCTTCTTTCTTTGCGACCCCTGTAGCGCAGAGGATAGCGCGTTGGGCTTCTAACCCAAAGGTCGTGGGTTCGATCCCCACCAGGGGTGACATCTACAAATAAAATAGCGTTTGCTTGTTCGCTATTTCTTTTCACACATTTTGTCCTCACCTGGCACAGAGTGAGCTGTTTTTTAAAAAAATTACTCGTCATAGCGTCAAGTAAAAAAAACAACTGATTCAACTCTTTTGCAATTGTTGGCTTGCCGCCACGCTGTTGAAATTGGTAGTCGCGTTGCACGTTGTTTGATTTTCGTTTAAGCGTTCCAGGTTGCTTTAAGCCCGCAGCTTCCAGGTGGAAGTTGAGAGCCGAAAGCTTCGGGCTTAAAGAATTTTTCCGAATGGGCACTAACGTCAATAAAAGCCACAACGCTTATGAAGCGCTGACAACCTGTTACGAAGTGTTAGTTATTCAAAGTTTAATGTTGTTGTAGCGGCAGTTCTGCTCAAGTCTTTACTTCACCAAAAACGCTACGCCTCTCAGACCGTCGAGTATCTGTGCAGCGACGAAACTAGCGGCGTAAAATGCTCAATGCCAACTCATCCAAGGGTACTGTATAGTTTGATGCTCAGGTACATATTCAAAAGAGATAATCAGGTAGAGTTCTTTTTCCGGACCGCTCGTGATCTCGCATTAGCGTATAGTTGTTAGTCTTCGCACTAGGTAACTGCAGGGACCAATTGTTAGCCTGTTAAGACCCAATAAAACTTATTTTATTAAAACCACCTTATTTCCGTTGACTGTCAAGTTTTAAAGTTTTATTCTCTATTCCATTCTTCCTAGTTTTGTTTCGCTTCTACTGGCTGTGAGGTTGCATTTCGAATGAAAGAAAGTCTTTTCCATTTAAGCTCTTGTATCCCATCTTCTAGCCGATTGTGGCTTTTCATTGCCCGTACACTTAGTGCTGGGCGGGGATATTTTCCGCAGCCGTAATGAAATGAAGAATGTTTTGCCCTTTCCCTTCGCAGATAGGGATATTGAATTCGTTCTGGCGCTTACTTGCGAAGTTTGTTAACGCAGCAAAAATAGCGTTTTCAAATAACAGTTCGGTACGTACAGTTTATTGGAATGAGCAAACTTGCCTCCGTAGCGTAAAGTAGACCATCGTCAGCATATGAAAATCTGACAGAGCAACAAAATAACGTCAAAACAAAACAGCGATAGAATCGGTGAACTTCGAAGTCCAATATTTGTCCTACTGAGTGAATGAAAAATGTCGCGGATGCTTGTCATTCACTTTTTAACGGTGCATGTGGATTTTCATAATTTTCCGCCTCACTGTGGAGTGGGAACTTCTTCGGTGCTGGACGAAACGCTCGTCGCTCTCTTGTTCATTCGACCAATAGACTCATCCGTTGTTGTTGCTTCTTTTGTGCCAGGAATCTGTAACTGCTGTTCACCATCCGACGTTGTTCCAGTTCGAGTAGTTTTAATTCCATCATCGGTCATTGAACGCTCCTGTCTTGTTTTTTCGAATTCGCTCTTCTGCAGCTTCCGAGCCTTCTCTTCTTCCGTTGACTTCGATTCTGGCTTCAACGTAGCTACGGTTGTTGTCTCCTCCTCAGACGAAGATGATGTTTCTTTCATATCTGTCCGTGTAACTGTAGTCATCACCATACCTTCTTCCCTATTTGTCTGCTTCAATTCCGTTGGTTCAATGACTGGTAGGTTGCCAGTGCTGACGCCTTCTACAAGTGTTGGATTGTTGACTTGGCGCTTTCCTATTCTGCCTGGTCGATTATCCACGCTTGTTTCCAACGTATCCTTTGTCAGCATTTCACTGCTTACAGAGCTCTGGCCGTTGCCGACGATTTCCTTCGTTAGGGCGCTGAGCAGGAGAAAGCAGAGCAGCATTTTCATGACCACCAAACTGTGCATGCGCAACGAGGCAAACTGACCATTTTGGCATTAGCTTTGTCGACGTTAACTTGACCTGTCCAGATGGTGCTTGTTGTTTTGGGTCATGCCAGTACCTTAATTAGTCCAAAAATAGTAACTTTACGAACACTTGGCTTCACGAGGTCATCATAACTTACGTCGTTGAGGGAAAGTCGCCGTGCCATTTTCATCCATTCCATTTCCTATTAATGGTGTATGAGGGATGTCGATTGCGTAACAACATGGTCACGGGTTATTTGCTTTCCAATAGCTTGTTGTTTCCCCATTTGAGTCGGTAGGACTCTGGCTAATTGCAATATGTTATGATCGATCATAAAGTGAGCTTTTGCAATGTCCAACTAAGTAGATCCATGCTTACTCGTAAATTTTCCCGCCTAAGCTCAGGACAAGATTCCTCAGCACAGTGACACTACAGAGCATATGTCTTGATTTGGTCATTTTTTGAATTTAACACAGTTTACGCGTCGTGTAATATTAGCAATACTTAATTTGGCAAATAATCAAGCTTTGCTTGGTGAGATCCAATGAAAACTGAACGACGTCTAACGGCAGAATATCTGTAGCTCAACTGCCTCTTCAGAAAAATTTGTTTTAAGCTACTTGCAAGCCGCCCGATGTAACCAGTTCATACTTTCCTTTTATGTAGCGATCAGATTAGGCGGTCGGAAAATATTCCACCGCTCCGCCGCGCGGATGAGAAATGTAACAAAAAGTTTTTTCTTCCGTTCATTTAACCGATGCACAATGGTTTGCAAGAAGACTTGAACGCTCAGTTTTCCCTTTAACGGAAGTTAATTTTCATTTTGAAGCTACTTCACTCCCGTCGCTATTGATTAGTTGTAATTGCGAGACTGTTTGCCCAGTGACAATGTAACAGCAAACGATATCGTGTTGAAGTAGGCGCTTTTATTCCCGTTTGAAAAATTGAATCCATTTGAACAAAGCCTTCGGAAGCAACGTGTGTTTTGCCGTCAGCGTTAAAGCCTAGAGCTTCTATACTTAATGCTGACGACGGACGCTTCGCTCAGTAAAGCTACCGACGACCTATCCGATCGGTTGCTGTTCAGAATGTAAGCAAACAATGTTGAAAGTATTAAATATGAAAGAATGAACATATTCAATCATCACAGTATTAATTAAAAGTAGTATTAAAATATAGGCATTGTTTCTTTTGGCCGAAATGGCGCCCTACGCACCTGACCTCATCTAAAAAGGCACAAACGTTGTTCACACTTGGCAATATTGAACTGTCAATCATCGATGTTGTACTTTTTTGAAATTACATTGTCACGATTTGCAAAGCATGAATTGTTAAGCAAAATTGATTTACTTATTTGCTTGACTTACGTCAGTGAGGCAGTCGTCATTATCCTACTCATTATCTAGTAAAGTTTCACCGGTTGGCCAATATGATACTGTGACGCTAATGTAGGATGGTTTTCAAAGATTGTCACTACAGTCAGCAGTCTTTTTCTGTCATTGTCTGGCTTCGTCTATGTTCGAATTGTTGAGTAGTAAGCATGTTTGCGGTAGGCAAACATTCCCACCGTTTGGGTGACAAAATTTACCCGCCATCACAATACTGGAAGAGAAATAGTTGAATGCCTTGAACTGAGCTAAAATCAACAAACCTCCCCATAACTCGACGCGTGGGAACAAACTATTCGAACAAGGCGAATTGGTCATCGATCAGTGGCGCCTGAAGTGCCCTCTCTTAGCAGCAGACTCATTTCATTGGTCTGTATTCGTTTTTTGAAAATGCTCGCGTCATCAGCCATTTCCATAAACAGCGGGACGAAAGGAGAAGGCCATTGAGTTTAACTTGCGCGCAATAGATGGAGACAGTCGGCTAAATAAATGTCCCTTCGCGCATAGTGGCATCCTTCTCAAGCGAAACAGGTCACGCAGTCGCGCAATTCGTCAGTTTTGTTTTGTTGAACTGTTTCCACGCAAGAAGGACGTATGAATTATTTGACCATATCAAAAGAGTAAGGCGAACTGCAAAGGCATTGTAAAAAATTGATCGCCTGACCTATCGCGAATGTCCGTATACGGTCTCCTTGACGCGTCCGCTTACGTAAGTTCGAATATAAAGATTGATTGACTCATTGCAACGTAGCTAATCGCGGATTGGGTAAATCCCGCAAACAAAAATGGCAAACGCGAGTCATTCCTTCCTTGGAATAATGTTTGCTCATCCTAGATGACGCGTAACGCTTGTAGGGGCGCAAATTCAATCTTTTCCTTCTCTTTGGGCGCCCATCAACGATTCATTGCCTTTGCCTTCTGGGCACAGCTCACGTCGCGTTGCCAAGCCTACCATCGTAGTCATGACAATAAGAGAGCAGCTAAGTTGGTATAGCTTCCAACATTTTTATAATCCTCTCCGCCATCAGCTCATAAGCGGAAAATGCGCGCCAATTAAGAATTGCCGAGTAAAAAGGGAAACTATAATGGCTTGGAACGAAGAGCATTGCCTTA